CAATTTACCATTCATATCACAGATCAAACTGAATATCACACGTTGATTTGTGTAATCTCATTTGTAACCTCTAAACAATTTACCATTCATATCACAGATCAAACTTAACTAGCATTACATTACTTAACTAACTAGCATTACATTCATGTCACCATTTGTAACCTCTAAACAAGTTACCATTCATGTCATCATTTGTAACCCCTAAACAAATTACAATGAACAAACTTAACTAGCATTACATTACATTACATCAAATTACATTACATTACACTGTCAAAGTGTCTTACATTAGATTAGCATTTGTTCTCAAATTAAATTTGCCCATTACTACTGTCAAAGTGCTTAACTATTGCCAAAGTGTCTTACATTACATTAACATTTGTTCTCAAATTACAGTGCCCACTAAACTATTGCCAAAGTGCCTAATTCATCTTCATGGCAAACACCACTAACAACGAAAGCAACATAACAGCCCACAATATTTTTGAATTTGCTAGAATCTTTGCATTTTTCTTCTCCACCCTATCAATCTTCCTCAGCAAACCAAGTATCAAAGACTTTGAACGCTCACACATTTCTGCATCAAACCACTGAAAAAACCTACATCCTTTTTCTCCACTTCCCTGTATCAACTAAGAACAATGACTGAAAATTTAGGTGGTAAAATGACTAAAAATTTCATCAATCACTGACAGTTTCATCAATAACAACTCTATCAATTTGTGATGCCCAAAACAATGACTGAAAATTTGATCTTAAACATGCTTACCTTTGACTTTGGGCTGACTAGAAATCTTCGCCTTGGGTTTGAACTGGTCCAAGAAGTCTGCATCCGTGCTAACTTCCCACAATGACACCATTGGCCATGCCTTCATTCTCCTTGCTTCTCTCCTGTTTCCATCAACCCAAATCTTCTACTCTACAATCTCTCAATTTCAAACTCCACCTCAGAGTTTTATAAATTCCTAATTTCTTCTCTAACTTCTCCCAAATTCTCCCAAAATCAAAGGAACCCTCATATTTTCACAATCCTCTTCTCCAATTTCCCCTTCTCACCCAATTTCCCATTTTGTTAAAAACTGAGAAACCCTTATTCGAAGAGGTTAAAGGTTAAAACGAAGTGGGGCCCAACGTTCGTAACGGAATGTCAAAAAAACTGACGGAGCGGGTAACGTGAGACGGTTTTTAAAATGTTGGGGGATATTTTGAGACGTTTGCAAACACAAGTGGTAATCTGAGATAAGTTTGAAAGCACATAGGTCATTTACATAATTAAGCCTAAAAACTATTCCTTTATCTAAAACCTGTCAAATTTAAATTAGGTAACAGTGATTGGGTTGTACCCAAATGCATAAGCGCACCTTCATTTCTGCACTTTGCCCCAAATTAGGGTTTTTGATCTCTCACTCTCACTCTCTGAGTTACACATAAACCACACTGAGAGCTCCCCATAGCCGAGAGAAAGATGTGGAGGTCTGTTGTGACAGCAAGAGCTTCTCTTTCGACACAGGCGGCACAGAAGCTGTGTGCAACTCGAAACCATAAGGTGCTTTCCTCTAAAACCCTAACACTAGTTGATCAATCTCCTCATTTTCCGACCAGATCCTCTCTCTGCCAAACCCGTAGGTTCCTTTCTCAGCTCTCAGAAAACCCTAGTGATTCTGATTCAGCTGAAGGACAACAGCTATCAGTGGAATTTGGTGAAAATGGTGATACACAGAGGGAAAATCTTACCCCTGGGAATGGGCTTGTTGGAGAGGAAAAGGGTGATACTCAGATGAACATTTTTCCCCCCTCTGATGTAGAGTTGGGGGAAGTGGAAGAGGTTTATGAGATTGATTTGGAGCAGTTGGAGAGTTTATTGTCTCTTCTTCAGAGCAGTGCTGATGGGTGTCTTGAGTCTAGTTTTGATGGTTTAAATTTGACTTTACATCCAGAGTTTGTGATTAAAGTAGTTGAAACCCCACTTGTTTTGGGTGAGAATTTGATTAGGTTTTTCAAGTGGGCGTTGAAGGAGAAACCCGACTTTGGTGTCACTACGCACATACTGGATGCACTTGTTCGAGCGACATGTAGTGGCCTCGTTAGGAAGAGAGATGTGTATTATTTGTGGGATTTAGTTAAGGAGGTTGGTGAGAAGGAGAACACTGTGGTGCATGTGGAAATTCTCAACGAATTGATATCTTCATTCTCAAAATTGGGTAAAGGGAAAGCTGCTTTGGAGGTGTTCAACAAGTTCGGTGATTTTGGATGTGTCCCAAATGCAGATACATATTACTTTACAATTGAAGCACTTTGCAGGCGTTCAATTTTTGGTTGGGCTCAGTCTGTTTGTGAGAAGATGCTTGATGCGGGAATCTTGCCTGATGGTGAGAAAGTCGGTAGGATCATATCCTGGTTTTGCAAGGGTAAAAAAGCTAAAGATGCCCATTTGGTTTATTCCTCGGCGGCGAATGTGAAGAAGCAGTACCTGCCTCCCGGTTCGGTTGATTTTTTGATCAGTTCACTCTGTAGGGAGGATGAAACCGTTAAATTAGCTCTAGATATGTTAGATGATTTTGCTGGTGAAGCACGGAAATATGCGATTAAGCCCTTTTCAGCTGTTGTTCGAGGTTTGTGTAGAATAAAGGATGTCGATGGGGCCAAAAAATTGCTTCTTGAGATGACAATGAAGGGGCCACCTCCAGGAAATGCAGTTTTCAATATGGTAATCAATTGCTATTGTAAGGCTGGGGATATGGGAGAGGCAATTGAGATGATGAATCTAATGAAGAGTAGGGGGTTGAAACCAGATGTGTATACTTACACTGTTATCATGAGTGGTTATACAAATGGAGGTCGGATGGAGGAGGCTTGTAAAATATTATCCGAAGCCAAAAACAAGCACCCCAAATTGAGTCCTGTGACTTACCATACACTCATCCGTGGGTATTGCAAACTGGAAGAATTTGATAAGGGTTTAAAGTTGTTGCGCGAGATGAAAGATTCTGGGGTCCAACCTAATGTTGATGAGTACAATAAGTTGATCCAATCTCTTTGCCTCAAGGCCTTGGATTGGGAAACTGCAGAAAAACTACTTGAAGAAATGAAGGATAATGGCTTGCATCTCAATGGGATCACACGGGGTCTTATAAAAGCTGTGAAGGAACTGAAGGAGGAGAAAATAGAGACTGAGAATGTAGTTGCAGAATCCTAAAATGGTCATCTGGTTTTTGGTATGTGGATGTTATGATGAAGACTGGGGAAATAAAGTGAAGCTTTGCGGTTTATTTTGTTCATGGTGATAGTTATGCATCTCCTGTTGTCAATCATATACAAAAGGAAGATTGGTTTTTTTCAATCTTTTCTTGCCTTTTTCCCTTGGACTTGTATGCTACAACCTTCAGAGCTAAGCCAGAGGTATGCGCCTTAAAAGACAGGACTGGGTCCTCTGCTTGCAACATGCAATTTTTGAAGCCTTAATTTTCTTTTGGGGTTTGTCCATTTGCTACATCTTGATATCAGTGGGTTTTTGATATTTTAGCGTTTATCTTCCTTTTTAAAAAAATGAAATTTATACCTGTTTTTTTTTCCCCTTTTTTTAAGAATTTGATGTGATTTTTGTTCTTAAACACTATTTGAAGGTTAATATTACTTTCTAAGATGCAGTTAAAGTTCAGAGGCATTGTTGGAGCTTTGGTATTTGTCCTGAATGAGGAAATTTTGTAAGTCAATAAGGTAAGAAATGATTAGTATTTTTTTAATAAACTCCGTGTTTCTTATAAAAAAATGCAAAAGCGAAAAGCATTAGGGCCACAATTGCGTTGTTGATATAGATATTGCTTTGTAATTTTGAGACCAAGTTACATGAAAAAGAATTATGGGTATCCATTGAACAGATTATGTCTGGTTAGCTAGGAAATCTTCTGGTATGAAGACGATCATCGTGTGAAGAAGGCGAATCAGATCTCTGTCTTCTGATTAGGTATATATATAATGTACACACAGTGAGATTCTCTCTACAGGATGTTCGTCTTTTATTAAAGGACGGATTAGCAATAACGTGTCAATAACATAATTCACTGGGATGTATTTGTTGGTGGCATGCCATTGACTTGTTATTGGCGTGTTGTTGCCAATCTAAAGAAGGATGGATGACATGCATAGAGAGAAACCATATATACATTTATTGGCGGATTAGATCTTTTGACTTCTGATTCAAGTTAGAAGAGTTGTACCAATATTTAAACCATTAGATGTGGCATTTATTTTGGTCTGATAAGTTTCAATTTTGGAATCTTGAATGTTAGGAAACTATATAGTACATAGACCAAACCACCCAACTACCTTTCTAAGAGTTTCTCAAGTAGCCTAGACTCGTGGTGAACTAGAAAACTTTTTCTGTGCTCCATTTGGACCTTATAAGTATCTGTACTTGCTTGCTGCACACCCATTTCACCACTTGTCCGGCGATAAGAATTTGTTTTGGATTGTTGAGATTTCTGTATTAGTCCGTGTTGGTAAACTTGTTCGGTTGAGGATTTATTGTGTTTGGGATCCTAGCTAAATTTCAATTCCTAATTGAAGAACATAAAAGAACGAAACGCTGTTCTTTTTCTTCAAAAGTTAAACCAGGGCCTCCAATCCTATCTCCCTTTCCAAAGTAGCTTAAGTTGAAAATTGTCCTACTCATGACATTACAACGATTGGCTCTGAGTGCTTCTTGAAGGAATAGAATAGACCTCAAAACATTGGCAATGTCCCCTTCCCCTGCTGCCTTCCTACCTACACACAACCAGAGGATAAGAATTAAAATGTTGTATGGTCTGTCTTTCCTTTTTTAACCGTTTCAATACGAAGCAAACTCGTTTATTATGTAGAAATCTACTAGTGGGAGTAGCTATCAAAGTTAAAGAGTTAAGAGGATGTGTCAATATATTGTAAGCATAGAAGGTGGACTCCGTTAAAAGATGGGCAGAGTTGCTTGCTCCTGAGTGCAGAAGCAGAGAGCTAGCTACTATCTGTGGACCATCTTATCGGTTTCTACTTTCACCTTCATTTGGTTGCCATGTTTCTTTACTGGATATTTTTTCACTCCCTCATGCAGCGTGTATAAAGATTGCTTAAGTTGGATTCCAACTACATGAACAAATCCGAAGGAGAAAGTTTCTTTAGCCTACAGAGATCTGAGCTCGATTGAGTCATGTAATTGCATTTTAAGAGTTTCTTCTTTCTTTGAACTTTTCTTAAATGATAAATTCCAATAAATTCCAAAATTGGAAAGAAAATGATTAGCCAAAAAGCCCATGTAAGGTCAAGAAGACGACAAAGAATATGAAGACCTTGATAGTCCCAGTGATTCATGTCATTCGCAGGTATACTTTTTCAACTTGCTCCAATGTCTGTCACGCTTTGAAGTTACATGGAAAGAAACCAAAAATGAAACAAAATGTATAATTTGAACTTGTACCATGTGACATGATGATACTTGTCTCATCAATTACTGATATATGTATCATAATTAATAAATGCAGCGTAGGAGCTTGTAATTGAAGTCGAAAGACGGGGTAATTTCTATAAATTGGGATGAAATCACTTGTGTATTTTATAATTGGAAATAAAGGGATTTAGACATAATTGTGTGACGATACATTTTCAGATGATGAAATCTATTGCAGAAAGGTAGAATGGCAAATGTATATGAAGAAGAAGAAGAACCATAAACAAATATCTTAAGGGACCGTTTGATAACTATTTCAATTTTAGTTTTTCATTTTCATTTTCTGTGCTAGAGTATGGAGAAAAAAAAGTGGGAGAATGAAAGTGAAGATGAGATTGAGAGGGGAGGATGAGTGTGATAAAGTGAGGAAAGCCGAGGAAAGAAGAAAAGCCTTCCCTCGATCGCGGTTCGCAGATCTTCCTCAAGGCAAGGGTAGCGTCTCATTATTCGCAATAATCGTTTTATGATTTTTGTAGAAGAATGCTCTCCTCTCCTCCTGAGTCAAGCGGAGGCAGCAAGACATAACAAAAGTGAAAATAAAAACTAAAAAGTGAAATTTATTTGAAATTGTTTTCACTTTCGAGTTTCTGTTTTCACTTTTGTTACATCTTCCTCCCATCTTCCCCTCCCATCCTCTTTCTCAATCTCATTCTCATTTCCTACTCTCATTTTTTTCTATATTCTAGAAAATTAAAATTAAAATAAAAATTAAAATTATTATCAAATGGACCATAAAAAATTTTCTTTTCTTTGATTAGAAGGACGAGTGCGAGGATCGAGTGGGTGAGGTTCTCAGTTTTTGGAGCCTGTCTGGAGTATATATGAAGTTTGGAGGAGACAAAAGATAGGTATTTAAGGAAAAGGGGAAGAAAAAGAGGATGTAACAGGTGTTGCTACGTACGTACTGAAACGTTGTTATCTTTTCTTTCTCTATCATTTATTCTTTTTGTAATGGAACCATCTAATATTAATTATTGGAAACCGTGAGGAGGCAGGTTCCAACAAGGGAAAAGGGAAGCTGTAAATTGCAAAAATTGTAAGTCATAAAAAAAAGATGAAGTAAAATTGTAAGAGCATCTCCAACAGATGTGTCAAAAGTGCCACATAGACCTTTAACAGCTCGAAATAACATCTCACATCACTCCAACCGATGTGTCAAAGCTGATGTGGAATGAAGGCTGGAGGTTGAGATGTTATTTTTGACATCCCAAAAGTAAGATGTCAAATGAATATTTTATTATTTTTTCTTTTCTTTTCTTTTTAATTAAAAATAAATCAACACTAAAATGTAATAAAATAATAATTTAATTTGACATATCGGGTGGAGTGTAAAGCTATGTAAGATGTCAAATAGCCACATCAGCCATCAAATTTAAATTTGATGTTTGGTATTTGACATCTCCCTTGGAGATGCTCTAAGAGCATCTTCAACTGATGTGTCAAAAATGCCACATAGATATTTAACGGCTAGAAATAACATCTCACATTATTCCAACCGATGTGTTAAAGTTGATGTGGAATGAATGCCGGAGGTTGAGATGTTATTTTTGACATCCCAAAAGTAAGATGTCAAATGAATATTTTATTATTTTTAAAGATAGTTGGTTGTTATTTTCATTTATTTTATTCCTTCTTTATCTTAAATGAATTGACTGTTACAATAATTATTTATTTGACATATCGGGTGGAGTGTAAAACTGTATAAATTTCAAATTGCCACATCAGCCAAATTTAAATTTGATGTTTGGTATTTGACATCTCCCTTGGAGATGCTCTATGAGGAATGTTAGCTGCTTTCCTTTGTTGTCTTTCCCTTCTTGCTTTCACCATTCAGTTCGTGTGTTATTTATTTATTTATTAAAAAAGAGTATTAGTATTTTATTGATAAGAGGAACAAAACAAGTACAAAGTTATTATGGTGTCAAGTATGAATAAATCTTCTCTATGACCTAAACATAACAACAAGTTTAATTGATTTAGGGAGAATCACGAACCCTCAAAGTGATTAAAATATATGATTCAACAACCAAAAGCACGACTACATAAACCTACTATACAAATATGTCGTGCAATGGCAGAATCGACAAATCCATATAGAAAGACGAAAGCTTAAAAGAAACAAAAATGCATCATAAAGAGAAAATAAAACACAGTAAACTCCTAAAGAGTTTTTGAAAATTATTAGACCTAAAAAAAAAAAAAACACGATCACTGCTCCACATCCTCATGGACAACCCAAGAAGAGTTAGAACGCCATATTAGCTAAACTCATAGTGTAGTACCGGCTAACCCAAACCTGATGCAACCCAATATCTTCCCTGCATTGTAGCTTCAAACCCATGTTGAAGGCTGACAACTGGAGGCAAATCCTTGTGTAGCCAAAAAAACGACGACTATCAAGGCGATGACAACATTTCAAGGTGGTTATTTCCACACCAGAAAACAAAATAACAAAGCAAAAAAAAAAAAAAAAAAAGAGAAAATGGACCCAAGAAGAGGGGAGGGGAAGGGGAATGGAGGAAGACCGTCAACCCCCAAAGGGGGTGGTAACTAAGGTTTCTTTCCTTAGGGTTTTCTCAAATAGACTTTTTCTTATTACTTTTTTTTTCCCCATTTAATTTGTGTCATGTGTATTCTATTCATATATAAATTCATATATTGGGCAAATTACTCAAATGGTCCTCAAACTTATACTCGATTTACATTTTGGTCTCTCAATTAAATTATTCATTCAAATGGTCCATCAACTCTATATTATTCGCTCTATTGGTCATACCGTTAGATTCTGTTAATATTTAT